CAACTGTTGGGTTAAAAAGCTAATTTAAAAATGTAACCAAAATTTAACCCAACAGTTGGGTTAGTCCATATTTGACCCAACATTGGGTTGAAACAACCCAGCATTTTTTAGAGTGTACATTAATTCTTCAGTTCAGTTCTGTTAATCCAATTTTTATTCTTATCTGAAGAACATCGTGAAACATTATGAGATTTAAATCTCCGAAGTATCATATGCATAAAAAAATGACTCTTTATAAGATGGTTCTTATACCTTAAAATCAGTTAAAATGCTTTATTTTTAAGGGTGTAACAAAAATATGTCTTTCAGATCTGTTGCTAAAACATGCAATCGGTAAAAAATCTAAAATAACATCATCTTAATAACAGAGCTAATGATGACCTTGCAAGTGAATCAGAGACAGACAACGAGTGTGTACTCACCTCAGGAAGTTTAACCCAACAGTTGGGTTAGTCCATATTTGACCCAACATTGGGTTGAAACAACCCAGCATTTTTTAGAGTGTACATTAATTCTTCAGTTCAGTTCTGTTAATCCAATTTTTATTCTTATCTGAAGAACATCGTGAAACATTATGAGATTTAAATCTCCGAAGTATCATATGCATAAAAAAACGACTCTTTATAAGATGGTTCTTATACCTTAAAATCAGTTAAAATGCTTTATTTTTAAGGGTGTAACAAAAATCTGTCTTTCAGATCTGTTGCTAAAACATGCAATCGGTAAAATCTAAAATAACATCATCTTAATAACAGAGCTAATGATGACCTTGCAAGTGAATCAGAGACAGACAACGAGTGTGTACTCACCTCAGGAAGAGTGTAAAATCCTAGCGAAGCTATCCAGTGAAACTTCGAGAATCTCTTAGGGGAACTATGTGTCTTCCTTCTGTGCATCTCGCGCGCTCGAGCTTTATAGGTATTGGCACATGTTATGATCCACCTTCACCAGTGACGTGTGAGCAGTTTTTTCTCTCTCTATTAGTTGAAGAGGTCGTGGATAGATCACGGGATGGGAAACGATTGAGATCGTAGGTTCCACAGAGGGAATCAGAAAGAGAGAGAGACAGATTGTAGGGGTTTTACTTATTTCCTCATTGGAATTCCATTCGATCCTCTTGTCATCATTTTCATGCATGGCTTCTTAGGCAAGCATTCAATAATGTCTACATCTAAAATGTTTTATGTAAAACATTTTTTTATTTTTTTTAATTATGTCAGATAGAATTATTCCAGACAATCAAAAATAACATGATTACATGTGTTTACAGAGAAGTTGCATGCTACAAAAAACACGCGAGTAAATAACTTTTTAGACTAAATACATTTAAAAAAAATTATATAGGCCTACTTAGTCAGACGACATTGAATTTAAATCGTACGTGGATTATTTCCAGAGGGCCAACTTTTAAAAATAAATGGCAAATCATTAAGTTTCTCAACACAATCGTTTAACTTTAGTCTATGCGCAACATTTTAATTCGATCCTCTTGTCATCATTTTCATGCATGGCTTTTTAGGCAAGCATTCAATAATGTCTACATCTAAAATGGTTTATGTAAAAAAAAAAAAAAAAATTTATGTCAGAATTATTTCAGACAATCAAAAATAACATGATTACATGTGTTTACAGATAAGTTGCAGGCTACAAAAAACACGCGAGTAAATAACTTTTTAGACTAAATAAATACAAATTCTATAGGCCTACTTAGTCAGACGACATTGAATTTAAATCGTACGTGGATTATTTCCAGAGGGCCAACTTTTAAAAATAAATGGCAAATCAGTAAGTTTCTCAACACAATCGTTTAACTTTCGTCTATGCGCAACATTTTTTATTTGACTCTGTCGCTCCGAGAACATTTAACTTATTTTAAAACTAATATTTTTGTAATATATTTGTGATGTTTAAACCTATAAATCTATCAAATGTGTTAAATAATGTAGGCTAATTTGTATTATGTACTGTCCGATACAGACAACGATCGAGCAGCTGTTGCTAATTGTTCAAGCATTTCTGTTCTATTATGGCAGTGTGACTTTTAATCTAATTTTTAAAGATAATTCGCATCCTGATTTATATACTGCGCTAAATAGCTACACACAGTCTATTTTAGTCTTTTTAGTAGCTATAATTATCAGGATGCGGCTCGATTTTCACTGAGATTCTTACAAATAATGCTATTATTATTAGAATTTTAAAATTATGCCAGAATTCATTCGCTCATGCTCTGGTATCTCTGGCTGCAATCATCAAAGCTTGCCGATTTGTTATTGTCCCAAGAACATAGTCACTACCCAGCTTGTATATTGGTCCAAAAAAAAAAAACTGTTATAGACACACTCACACACACACAAAAAAAGAGTGCAAAAGTCTACATTCAACATTTACTAGTAATATGTCTTGTAAACCATCAGTCTTTTAAAAACATTTATTTTATAATAATTTTATATAAATATAGAATTCATCTGGAATATTATCACATTCAAACAGAAGAAAGTTTTGTAATTGTAAATTATCTGTCTAATTTCCCTCTGGTCAGAGAAGCAGATCTGCTTTTGTTATTTCCAAGCTGCATTATTAAAACGGGTCCGAAGATGAAGTTGGCTAGTTTGCATTTGTCTTTCTTGAATCATTTCAGGTCAGAGTGAGAAAGGGCAGGAGATAGAGAGGCACAGAAGACAACCATCCCTGTCTGGGGTGGTTGAACAAATCCCGTTATTAATTTTAACAACAGAGACTCCGAATACCAACTAAAGCTCAAAGTCAGGTTAAAGACAGGCAGGGACTTGCCACATAGTCACACACTCATGGACAGATCTCCTCTCACATATATCTGCCATGCACACCAACAAACATAAACATTCAGAGGCACTATATAATAAAACACACAAGGATCAGTAAATCATGAGTAGCCTAATTAGTTTTCCCTTAATGCATAGATTTAAACCAGAGATTGAAACATCTGTAGTTTTTACTATTTTCAAAATATACAGATATATTTCTATTCATGTTCAGATAAGCACAGAAATAATGAAAGTCATGATAATTCACCATTTTTATTCCAGATGTGCCAAATACAAGATTAATAATTTGACAAAGGCCAAAGGAACCCTGTGCCATTTTATATGAATTTGTATAGTAATTGTACTTCTTCTGTACTCAGTTCTAATACATACTTTGATCTTATTTTTATGTTTTATTTGCCATAATTTGATGGATATTTTTCCATACATATCAATCTTACAAAATTGCTAAAGCTTATGCAAATACTTTTCTGAGCACGTACCCATCACCAGAACCACATCACAACCCCAGATCAATTAGAATGGAATTTTATCTGTGTGAAATTTTTCATAATTAACATGAAACCTGAAACTGTTGATGTTGACTAAGGCAATAATATTGTTTTGTTGATTTTTCCCCTAACTAAAACACACACAAAGAGTGTCTCATCTTTGATATCACAATTGTCTTTGATCAACTTTGTGTAATGACACACATTTGGAGGATCATTTTACAGTGGCTGCTTAGGTTATGTGCTGAAAATGTCCCTTTTTTTGTTCAGACTTGCTCTTAATGACCGATATAACCTACAGTACTGTCTGCTTTCCAGACATTTACACACACACACACACACACACTTACCTCTGTCTATTGAGCATAGATACAATCTCAAATTCTGTGACTATACTTTTAAAAGTAACAATTTCTAGTTTTTAAGTATTTTTTCACCGGGCAGATGGTAAAACAGGCAAAAGATGCCATAAAATTATATTAAAGTAAAGTATCAAAGTATCAGAGAATCACACAGACTTGGGGTCTCTCTTTGCTAGTAAACAACCTAGCAACTACTCAAAATACCCTAGCAACCACATAGTAATGCTTGAAAACTCAGCAACCTTGTAGCAACAGCCCACAACCCCAATGATCATGATGTTTTTTTATGAAAATGTAACTTACAGACTAACCCTCGTGAAACCTTAAAGTTGGCGTGAAATGAAAATTCAATCCCATCTATTTGGGATTAATACATAAACATGTTATAGGTTTTATTGTGAATGATTAATCTGTGCATAAACATCATAATTCTTAATCAAAATGTTATAATTCTCATCTGCCGGACTTCTCCAATCATTGATTCCACTTAAACCCCATCTGTTTCTTACAATCAACTGCAAACTCGCATTCAGTCAAAACCAAGTCTCCGCCCTTTACTTTTTTTTTCTTTTTCAAAAATCTGTTTTACTCAGATGCACGTCACAATACGGAAGAAAAGATCTTTTGCTACTTCCATTTCATTGCGACTTCAAACCTGCAACCATTTGAGATTTTTAGAAGTGAATACAGGCTAATTTAATGTATACACAAATAATTTTCTCTTTAGTTAAACCTTCAGTGATATTTTTCAGAAATTTTGATCCAACTAACACACACAACAAAGCACATATGCAGTTCAAGCTAAACTGTTCAACTTCAAGTACAACTTCACTGATGTGGAATCTTAGAGGCAAACTATATAGTGTTTCTGTGGAATCTAGAAGCACACACACAAATTCTCACCAACACAGATATACGCAGAAGGAGACACACACAACTGCGTTTTAAGTGGTCACCTTATCCCTCGCTCTCTAATGCTGCTCAATCATCAGCTCCCGGCCGCAGCTTCTGGACTCAGTGGAGGGGTCGGGGGAGAGAAAGTGTCTCGGCCGATGATCAGAGGTACAGCCTCATCTGTCAACGGTACAAAAAACCCTTCCTGTTGGACACCGAGACACCCCTCAGTGTGAACAGGCTCCATCAGATGCTATAATAAAGGTGCACGATAACTAAACAGAATGCAGTGAGAGAATTATTAGGACTACAAAGGACTATTAATGAAAGATAAAGAACACTGAAAAAGAAAGAGAGATGGAAGACAGTATTTCTTCACTTGCAGATATCTTTCCACACGGTAGTCCCCAACCACCCTTGTGTCTCTCTCTCTCACACACACACACACAGAGAGACACAGATGCATACTTGTCTCCTGGATGTCCTGCTTTGATTCTTAAGGGTTTTCCCCTCCTCTCAGACGCTGTCTGTCATCACTGTGTGTGTGTTTGAGAGAAAGAGAGGGCGGTATACCAAGAGGACTTGGTTGGATCTGAAGTCTGAAAAAAGTCTACAATTTTATGCAAAATTGTCAATTTTCCTAATAAGCATAATAATTTAAGTGAGAAGCTGAGCTGAAAAAAAAAACATGAATTCAAAATGTCTTAGAATTTAGTTTGTCCCTCTTTTGCTTTAATGACAGAAGCACTCAAACTCACAAGTTTGTGTAAAAGCTGATGATCATGTTCTCCAGTTTGATTTGAGATGATCCAAAATGTTAGACTGACAGACATGTCCCTCAGTGTACTAGTCACCGTATTTAATACATATTTTATTAGTGACCTAAAAACAGTGCAGGATCTGAAACATTATTATTCATTAAATGTCATAATGTTTCTTTGTTTTAAAATTTTCAAAATCCTAAAACTTTTTCAGGTTTAAATTAGATTTTGAACCCCAGACTTTTGAAACTCACTGTATGCGTACATGTGAATTGAAGGAAGTGCATTGATCCCTGAGGCCACAATGGAGGTTTTTAGATGTGTACCAATTTCTGACCACCCGACTGACTTCCTTATCTGTCAGAGGGGTGTGACGCCGAGCGGGTATCGGGTTCTGTTCTGGGTGTCGCACCGTGACCTCACACGCTGACCCCTGAGGCCTACACTTCCTCCCGCCGCTATAGTGACACGGCAATAACAACACCACGATTCATGTTTTTGCGAGAATACTGAATAGTTGAAAGTTTAATTATTCAAAATGTAGATAGTAAACTAAAACTGGGTGAGCAGGTCTTATATCA